TTGTTCCCTTCTTAGTAGAGGTTTTTTCAGTAAAGTTAGTTAGGGGTTACACGGAACACCCCTGAGCGGGCGTACATACGCTGGGCAGGTGAGTCAACATAAGACCAGCATGACTCACATCCTCTGCTTTTACCAGTACGCTGTGTTAGTGTAGGCTTGCTCGTTGTGTTGTCCGCTAGAGGTGGCCACCAGCTCGTGATCTTGGCCGGCTGACACCGAGTTCGCATGCTGTGGGAAGCAATGCTGTTGGGATTCGTGCGTGCGTGCCTATTTCGATAAGACTGCTTATCTTGCAATTGCAGGAAATGTCTAATATTTGGTTTTTATGAAATCACGACGTACTAGTTTGTTTATGTTTTAGAAACAATAAAAGGATATGTCGTCGACAGGGCGGCTTTTGGCCCCAACAATCGAGGGGGTTGCCCTATGATACCTCTAACAATTTCAATTACTTAACTAGTGTACCTAGACAGTGCATAATATACCGAGGCATAAAAAAGAGATTCAAGATGAAGATGTATAGTGAAGCAATTGTCAAAATTTCTTTTTTATATCCTCTGTGTGCTTATCAATAATTCGAAATAAACTTTGGTCATTGTCTGCTTTTATAATTTTTGGCTTCCTTTTATGGAAGCACTCTGCTAAACCTCCGTTAGTTTCAAAACTGTTGAAAAATCTCGTCCCTTTAAGCTAATTTTACACATCTCGACCTCAGCTGCATGCGACTGAAATATCCAAAAACTACACGAAGACGGTCAGGGAATGTTGTTGCTACTGACTGCTTCACAGGGGTCACCTCTGAAGTCGTATATAGATTAAACTTTGCTGTTTTGTTACTTTTCCGAAATGCGCGTGTGCGGTCGCTCGCTCTGAAGATCCGGTAATTTACTTTAAAAATATCAACAGTCTGGCTGCATTTTCCACGATAACGTCAATGGTCTGGGTGTTAGAAATAGCTTTTCTTCGAGAAAACTTTACATCCTGGTTGAAACAACGCAGCAGGATCTTATTTCGTAGCCGGGTTTTTAAGGGGTTAGAAGTTGGCGTTAGGCGTTAGGGGTCAGAGTTAGGGTTTATGCGTTAAGCTTAGAGATTGGGGTAGTGGTTAAGCTGGAGCTTGTCTTCTGGTGGTACGGCTGCGAAATCAGATATGACCGAAAACTCTTTTCTAATATGGCAGATGTAATATACCTTATTACAGACATAGATATTGGATTGTCTAAAAAAATTGCATAATAAGAGACTTTTTTCAGAATCCAATTATAACGCTTCCTGGTGTATTAAATGTAAGTTTGACGCTATACAATATCAAACAAGTAAAAGAAAGCGTATTTTTGTTATGTTCTCTATACAAATATATTTGAATATATGAGACCATTGAAAGTCAATTTGAAAGATACATGCTGCATGAACTGTCATTTGTTGACAAATACGGTTTCCACAGGCGCTAAAAAGTGGTGCACTCAAATGTCAACAACCTGCTGAGTCCAAAATATTGTAGGCTTACCCTGCATGGTAGTCAATACTACAACACCACCTAAGTAATCTTTCCTAATCTAGAACGTATTTCAGAATTTGATGAGATTAGTCAGTCAGTGTGTTTGCTATAGTACGTATAGAAAACGTTCGGAGCCTGTTGTCATTAGAAACCAACAGCCAGGTGTGTGCAGTCTAAACTATCCCGAAGGACATAGCACATAAGATCAATTTAGGATGTTTATTTAGAAATAAACCTAATTTGATTTAGGTTATTTTTGACCTGAAAAAAACATTAAGGACGTGCAAGCTATGTTTAAGAATACTTTACGTAGTCGACCGGTTTTGCGGTGAGCTAATACGTCGTAATGGAAAAGCTAGCTATTCAGATAAAAGCGTTTTCATCTATAGGATTTCGTGTAGTTCCTGCAGAGAACGCGTGATCCCAGATTCACTATCTGGATTTCAAAAACTAAATAACTATCTTGCAAACTTTCTTAAGGCCAGGGTCTACTTTGTCCTCCAGCAGTTCTACTACATTACTTACATGCGCGGGGCAAGAAAATGTGAATTATTATTCAAAGAATTCGCCAGCATTTTAGCACTCCTGATTTACTGTCAGACGTATGCATTCCATCTTCTATTATTTCGAGTTAATGTCAATACCTGAGCGCCCTCCATGTCGAACCCATTTATAGAAATGGGCTTTCCTTCTACTAAAATATTTCGTGTGTGGTGTGCAGAACTGCACCAACTGCGTGCGGCTGTACAAGTCCACGAATGCCATTCTGCCGACGAAAGATTATCCAAGACGCTGCAACAAAATCCCTTCGAAAAAAACAGTAGTCTGTCCTGCATAGGTTTTCCTTACCTCGCACATATGTTTCATACTAAACGCACAATTCTGACAATTGTCGGAAATGGCTGTGATTTTTGAAGCAAAACCTTTAATATTGTTATATTTAAGCCCGGAATTAACAAATCACCCAGATGCTGCTTATGCGACACAGTCATCAGCATGATTCTGATCCGCTTACCGTGAAATTCCACCATCCATGCTCTGACTGGGTGTAGAGATGCATTAATCATAATGCTGTGATACCAGTCGAATGGTCAGCGTGCATTAAACTGATTGTCATTATCAACAAAGACAAGGGAGACTGGTAATGTCATTCTGCCTTTATCATGCGCTGCGGTGCGGCTGCTAGTTGGGCTCAAGAGAGAGGCCGTAAGGCACAACGGAAGGAGTGAGTTCCGTAAGGACTAACGGTGACCGCCCCATACCATTGTGCATTAAACTGTCAAATCTCGTGGATGCTACACTGACTGTGCTGTAGCATCATAGCTGTCTTCCACCCGGTTGATTTTTGACCCTGTCACGTTGGACATTTCTGACTTTTCGGCAGCCGTCAGCCAGTCCTGTGGTAACCCTACTCGCAGCACCTGTTGAAATGCGGCACCTCCCGTGAGTGCCGTCATCAAACCCTCAGAACTCAATTGGACGAGGTCGCTTTCATGAGGCCGGTGATCTGGCATTACGGTTGTGTAAACCAAACCAAATGTTGCCCAACTCAAGACTCAGGACTACTGGTTTGCCTCCCAGGCGGTTAACGCGCCTTAGGAGCGCACAATAGAGTGGCTATATAAGCGCGGATGCTTTGTTAATACTGCTAGTTTTCTATGCATTTCATGTCTAAGTGGTGCATATGGAAAAATCACACCGCACAAAAAGTACGATTTCGAGTATTAAAAAGCGGAAATGAATGTTTTTTTTAGTTATTCTGATATACACTTATATTGCCTAGACATTTTTTTCTGCACGAGTAAAGGACATTTATATGCAGAGAACGAACGGTTGATCAAAACGCACTAAGTTGCCGGTGTCTGAAAATTTTCATGTCAATTCCTGTCAGTAGGTTTCTAGCAATACGTAACATACTATATTTGTTGTAACTGTTTTTTCTAGGTTAGAGAGAGAGAGGGGAATGCGCTTTATTTTGAAATCATATGTTCAAAATTTTCAGCAAAAATTTGGCTCCATTCACGATGGGCAGTAAATAAGTTAATAGATTATTCAAGAGTCAATGTTAAACACAAAGAAACGATTATTATGGGGATAGTTAAAGTCTTAGCTTCTGTATTTCTGTCTCTTCGCACGTAAGATAGCGCGCTAGGAATGGCAATACAGAAGCTCGATAAGCCGATGTGCGACAGGATATAAGACGGAAGTTGCGGCGCATCGGGCGGGAAGACTTGGCAGACATAAGATCGAAATATATGGGATGGGCAACGTCATCTGGAATCCGACCAGCAAATTGCTTGACCGCATTGAAGTGTCGTTGTAAGATTGTGTCAACTTAAACAATATAAGAAACGCCAGCAGCAGAAGAGAGCATGCGGAGGATTCGTTTCAAAATTAAAACATCCTGTTTTAACAAAGCAGGAAAAACGACAGGAGAACAGTATAGGATAAGAAGAAGAATGCAGGCATCAACGAATCGCCAGACTAAGCGTTGAGGTGTGTGGTAGGAACGTAAACGACGAATGTAGTAAAGAAGTTTACGAACTTTAATAAATAGGGACTCAATGTGGAGGGAAAAAGAAAGATTTGAGGACAAAGTAACGCCGAGGTACCTGAAAGAGGATACTTCGTTAGAAAGAATGTCAGAGGAATCAGGGTTAGGAGAGGGCCGCAGTCGAAATATACACTGAACGGATTTTTGGTTGTTAATTAGGAGACCATATTTCTCCGAACAGGCCAGGACATGGTTTAGGCCATCCTTTAGAGACCGGAGGTGTGTCTGACTTTTGATAGGGTGTCCAACAACCACATCGTCAGCATACTTGACCAGAAGACAGTCATTGGGGGACCTGAGATCATCAGTGTGGAGGGAGAAAAGGTGAGGAGATAGAATGGAACCTTGAAGAACACCGCAGTCGTTGGGAAGGGTCGAAGATTTCCGCTTGCCAGATTGGACAAATTAGGTGCGGAAGGTAAAATAATCGCACAGCCAAGGGACGACCCAGCCTGGAGAGCCACATGCTTGCCTTATTAGCATTTCATTAAGTTTATTTAAGATCTGTGTCGTTGGACCTTACCATGTCTTCCGAAAGAAGTGGATTTGCAAATAAACATTCCTATGTTTTAACAGTGGGAAATATAAGTATAAGTGGTTGGAGTTTATGGACTTCCCCCTAATTGAACGAGGACATGCATTGCACTCTCAGACTGCCCAGTTTACGAACCGTGTGTTACTTTCCTTTCTTATTAATGTCCTGGGAGTGGCTTAAAATTGCATTTGACCTATACGCCTCATTTAAATCCGCAGTAATGATCAAAAATTTCTCAACAAGTGCCCGCACGTTTTTATGCTAACTACGTGGTTGCTGTCTGCTGTGATTGCTTCCACAACGATCTGGCGTACAGATGCGCCGGTCGAACGGACGCCAGATTGTATATGCCCGATCGAAACCGACAGGACAACGAGTTCGTGTCCCAGTGGTTGGAGGCTTATGACTTCTAACTAACAGGGTAGCGAGTTCGAGCCCCATGTGTTCCACACTTGGTGAAAACCGTCAATAGTGTCGATAGCCAGCGCGGGTGGTATGGAGGTGAACAATGAGATCACGACAAAAGACACCATCACCTCATCTGCCTCCACTTCGAGACGTTTGATGTGCGACAAAAACTCTTCAGCCAACTTCACTGTCCACTCTGGATCCTTGGTAAGGAAAGCAAGTCGCTGGTACAGCCACTTTGACAGCCCAAAGTTTGGGGTACCACGTAAGGAGACGATGGAGCGTAGCGGCACCCCCGGCTTGTGGACCTTTGCTAGGCCGTAGAAGCGCGTCATTGCGACATCACTGGCTTTTGAGGCCAGCGCTTCCCCTATAGTAAGAGCGCCCGCCTTCCGCAAGTTGCCGATCGTCTTGTTTATGCGGTTTACGAGCTTTTTGAACCCGCTGACAGTCGATGGCACATAAGCTTCCTTGTCCATCAAGAGGTTTCCTAGTTTTTTGCAGTACTCAGCCTTATCCATGACGACAGTAGAGCGCCCCCTGTCGTATTTTCAGAAGTTCTCGATCTTCTGCTTTATAAATAATCCTTTGGCGTTTATGTTGAAGGAGTTCAGTCGACACTTGTTGTCGCATGGCGTTTTTGCACTCCTCGCCTGCCTCGCACTTCTGGAGCGCCGATTAGAAGGATGCAATAAAGTCTTTTCGTCGATCATCTCTTGTGCTGAACTTTGCGTCATAGGTTAGAACGGCTAGTTGTTGCCGAGTGAAACGATGGGAGGACAAGTTGTGATCCAAGACGCCGCCAGTGGAGGACTGCTTTGGCGGACCTTTTTTCCCAAATTTTACAGACAACTGGTCATCACGCAATTTGCGGTGATGCCGTGCACTGTTGAGAATTGCCGTTTTGAGGATTTCCAGCTCGTGTGTCTAAACGGTATGTTCGCATTGTGCACTTATGGCAGACCGTAAAACCGAGCGGTGGCAGAGTCAGGGGTTTCATAAGAAACAAATCTCTGGCTGTGATTGCGCCATTTGCTCTGCGTTTTGCCAGGCTTTTGCTTACTCGAGTAAGCAGATTTGCAATCTCAGTGCTTGACAAGGTTTGTACGTCTGTTGATCGTCGAGTAAGCTCAACGCTTACATCCAGTAGTCAGATTTGTCAAGCACTAATGTGGACTGGATGAAAATGTCTTCGTTCGCTTTCAGTCTGTTAATGTTTGCTGAGAGATTCGATCTTCTTGTGCTGCATAAACAAAGATGAGCTTTTCGTCTCTTCTGACGTTTGTGTATGGTGAGGAACACATTCAAAAGCAACAATGAACTCTGGGGTTGAAGCGTCTGTTTTGCTGAAAGTGGCTGCATGTCCCAGGAAAGAACGTTGTTTGCTAGGGATTGATTTAGATAAAGGGTTGTGGATAGGGTCATCGGAGGAGATATCTGACCAAACGGGTCTCCATTTGGACAGTTCTACGGATAAATTGTTGCCCTTTTTGGCACGCTCCATTCGAGCATGATTGATAATGGCTTTGCAGTGGCACAACAGAGAGAGTAAGTGCTCTGAGCGCTACAACCATCTGGTCGAATTTCAAGTCGTAAGGAGCACACCAATAGGCACCAGAATGAGGAGTTTATTGTGCACAGAAACCGCAGTTGACCTCTAAGGCGGCAGTGGCCACTGGTGAAGCCAGCTGGTGTTAACTGCGCACAGTCACGCATGAAAGTCACTGAGATAGTTGTGGCACTGCTTTTGTAGGCCCGTGGGCCAAGCTCAAGTGGTGTCTAATCAGAGTGTGTCGCATTTGCCCGGGCGAGGTGTCGCAATTACTTGATTTGCTGGTTGCCGTGATTAGCGCGTTCAAGTGGCTCATGGGCAACGGCGACGCTGTGTAGACGTTATTGTGTCCGAGCCGAAGTCAGTCGATTGCCTTCAGGTCAACGCGTCTGGCACGGCTCGCTGCGAGGGGTGAATGACCATGCGACAGGGAGGTCCTCGACAATGACTCCAGATCGGTCATGATGGCTGGCCGCCACAATTTTCTCAATATCCTCCAATCCTTCACCAGTAGTTGCCTCGAAATAAGCCTTAAATTGATAAATTTCTAAGCAATGACGTAGCAGACCTTGGCGACAATCATGAATAAGTACTATAAACTTTCTTCTGCTTTCTCGCCTCGCAATTTCTCTAGTCAATGTTGAATTCAGAGGTGAATGAGAAGTGATACATTTTAGAGTCAGTTGTTGGTCAAAACACCAATATGCTCTCACAGGAACGGGCTTTGTCGACTTATAAAAACTTTTATCCTCACCTGTATCCAAACCAATTGCGCGAGCCTTCACCTCCTTATTTAGCTGGGCCGCAAAAAACCGACTATTTTAAACACTCGGGATAACGCCTATTATGGTACATCTTTCTTAACCATTTCGCGCTTATTCGCATGAAAAAAGGAACCTTAATATATAATGCAAATCAATCTGGTTCGTTTTGTCTGCAATAAACTACTTTACTTCTTATAAATCAGGATTGATCAAGTCCGAAATATTCGTTTCATTTTACAACCTTTCCCCCGCCACATTCATCTGCCTTGGAGTTCTATATGTGTATCTGTTGGCCTCGTGCAATCGCTCGATCATGTGCAAACCCCTTGTGAATAATGCTCGTAAAACCGCATTTTAAATCCAAAGTTGCTTTTCTGCCTTATCTCTCGGCACAGAATCCCAGAATTTATAGACGCGCGACATTTTCGTCTGAGTTATTTCATATATCCTGTTATTTAGTGCTGTGTTTAAATCCACTAGGCGTGTTTATAAAGAGAAGTCATTTACTTGTGAGTTCTGTCACCTTTGTCAATCGTATGGACTTAAGAAGTTTGCAATATAATTGGCGCGAACTTTGAGCATTCGGTGTGTGTTGGTAGCTGCGTATCCAAAACCGAACCCAGAGCCCGCCCGTCGCTACGTCAGAGACATCTAACGTGTCATGATAATGGAGACGTAGCGTGGTCGCAGATTTTAAGGTCGAATAAACGTCGGTGATGATTTTCTGACACCGTTCTCTCACGAAAAGAGGCAACAATTTACTTAAATTAATCGATGTATGGAAGTTTTTAATGAATAGGGGGCAGTTAGAACGCTGACGTCTTGTAGAGAGTAGTTTGCCTCATAGAAGTGGATGAATCAAAAAAGGCATTGCACAAGTCACCTCATCGTGCAATCTTAACTCGACCACCGGACTGGTGTCTCTCAGAAAAAAAGAGGTCTTCCTGACACGTTCGACAGACTCCATAAGATTATTTAATCATAAGCATGCATGCACGCTACACGCACTGCGTAATACGTCTTTTAGATAGGCACATTTGTTCTCATTAAATTATACAACTTCGGAGAGCAATTCGTGCTTTCTACTAGTTCCGTCAACCAACTCACACAAAAGGGGGCTGCATTCACAACTGACCCCAATTTAGGTGGGGACACACAACACAGGAGGACACCAACATCCACAGACGACGATCAGAAGGCTAAAGCAGCGAAAGACAAAAAAGGTCGATTTCCCTGAGGCCAAATAAGTAGGCCGTTTATTTAAAATTCTGGTCGACTTTTGCACCAGACGCTCTGATAATGGAGAGACGGCCAAGCTCTCCACAAGATCATCAATGTTATTTCTTTGATCCCGTGAGCGCTTCATTTTGCGCAGCCTATTTAATTTGTTTTAAGCTCGGAACGGAAGTAAAATGCGCAGATTAATTGAAACAGACAGCACTAGATCCTTCACACAGTGATTGAATACCAAACCCTATTACTAAGATGGCTTTGATCCATGTTGCAAGTATCTGGAAATAAAACGCAAAACTCTCTTCTCAAGTGACAGCAGCGCACTGAAAGCGGCTGAACTACATTTGCCCACGTCCTCGATAGATGGAATTGCATTGCGGCTTCTGTTTGCTTGTAGGTTCCTAATATCTCAGCCACATCATGTGTCAGGTCAGCATATGAGCAGTTGGCTTACCAAGGTCGAGTTCTTTTGATATTTCCGAAATCGACGGAGGTATCTTAGAGTACTTCAGCAGACGAATGCCGCAAATTGTACATCTGGCCAAATACTGTCATTTGTTCCTTATTATGAATATTGCCTTCGGTCTTCTTGGCTGTGTCTTAACACTGGATCCGGGTGTAAAGAAGGAGGGAATGGGGTAGATGCTGCGTAAGTCTAAGCTTACTGTTAACTAATTCACGCCCCAGTCACCATGCCTGAGTCAATTTGATATGGAGTACACAGTGGACATCAACGTTTGCAACGGATAAACAGTCGTTCCAATCCGATCCCCGTGCAACCCGGTTTATTGAACCAATACAGCAGGCATGAAGATGACTTCGCACTCAGGGCTATATTAAGCAATCTTGACTTCCCCAAAAGAATTTACCTCTGTGGATTATATAACACTCGGCTGTCTTTCACCCATAAATACATACTTGGACAAATTCTGCTTTAGCATCGACGAAATCTCTAGTATCCTCAAGCTTTCACATCAGTCGATTTACATTGTTTATGCCCTCCCTCAGTAAGCAACCGCTGTTTGCTTTTAAACCAAGGAAATATATCATGACCACGATAAGTCACACTATTTCTCACATTGCAGAAAAGAAGTATTCAAACCAGAATGCATAGGTTTACCGAGGAGGCGCTTTTTATGAAACCCAGAACATTCATCCAGCACAAGCTATCGCGGAAAATGGATTCAGACTTCGCAGTTGTTGTTCCATTTTAAATACGTTAACGGGGTCTTTAAACAGTTTGAAGGTGATGCGCATGACGAATCAACATCAGCAACATTTGCTTGCAGTCTTGTCCTTTCTTGACATCTCCGTCGCATCGACCGTCAGGTCAGGATGTGTGGGATCGGTTTCGGGGGACGACGCCTTCTAGCAATTTGGGAAAATGCGAAAGTCTCCAAGAATCCTCCCAATAATAGGACGCCCGCATATTAGCATTTAGCCACTTACTAACGTTTATTTGAATTATGAAAATTTCCAATATCGGGAAAGACAAAACCACGCATAAAACACAAAAATAAATTTTACTCATTACTGCATAGTCTCTCCTCCTCTTTTCTATGTATCAGTATACTATGCACTGGCTGGACACATTAGTGAAGTAATCGAAGTTGTTAGGGGTAACTGAAGACAGTTCACTGAGGTGCTTGTGCACAAAACCACACAGCCGACAGTCTGTCCTTGTTTCCGTCTAAAACACAAATAAACTAATGCGTCATGGTTTCAGGAAGAGGTGAGTATCAATCGTTCCCTGTGAGAGAAAAACAGGCAGAGTTACCTGAATAAGCATGCACGTAAGAACCCTGTCATCGATAGATCGCACAATATGTGAAATCTGATTGAACCAATCGGGATTACGAGCTGGTGCTCACCTCTAGCAGGCAACATACTCAACAGGTCTTCAACAAGACAATGTACCGACAAAGACAGGGGCATCAAATCCGGTTGGTATTTATCTAACACCCCAGCCCAA